GTTATCGTTAACATAGTTTCTAGACATGAATAAACGTCAAATGGTGTCATCATTGGATCATTATGGTTACTCTCTCGTTATTATTACATGGACAGTTGGGACAGTTTTGATAATCCACTTGCATAGAAATGTATTTTGTTCAAACTAAACTGTAAAAGCTAATTTATTCGTCTGTTATAACAGTAACATCTACAGCACTATAATACAGGGATTCATTCATTTAATTATGTTTATTCAAAGTTAAAAATCATAAGACATCGAAAGTGTTCAAAATAATAAAACAATTTTGAGCATTAAATTATTAAAAACCATAATTTATATAGAATGTGTATATTAGGTGATATAAACACATTATTTTTAAAAGGAAAATTTAAAAAAAAAAAACAATTTTTAAAAAAATCGTATTACTACCTATACAGTGTATATTGTATATTTTTCTAATACAAGAGAACAATGGGAAAAAAAATCAAACCATAAAACTATATTCAGTTAAGACCAATGAAACCGAACCCATGTCAATACTTGAACTAATTTGTGTAAGATGAATTCAAGAAAGAAATATTATATTTCAATTTTTTTAAGTCAATACCTACGTAAAAATATCAACATTTTAAATTACCAATAGGCAAAAGGCAACCTGAACCTTAATAACTGAATCCTTCAAAAAAATGTTTCACGATATGTTTATTTGATTCAAAATCAAAATATAAAAATATTATGCATTAGGTACCTATGTTTTTTTTAATACTTATACAAACACATAACACAAACAATCATGGAGATGTTTGTTATTTTGTATACCAAGCTAACTTTTAGAGTAAGACGAATTTTAGCTATTTCTAAAATATAATATAAGTATCAAAAATTCTACACTGACTAGAGATCAAAATAATTATGCCTCCTGTTGTTTTTACATAACTTATTCAAATATTTTTAATGTCGTAATTGGACGAATAATTAAATGATTAGCAAGATGAGTACACTTAATTTAACTCATTTTCAGTATTGTAATTTATTGACAGTGCATATTTGGTTATATTTTTAGTGATTTTTTTTATATCATAATATATAATCTTCGTTTACATTTGATAGGTAGTATAAAGTATCAAATTACATACATTTGACATTTATGCATTATGTAGGTAAACATAATTTTTTTTTTTTTTTTTTTTTATTGATCTGAACTATACATCGACAACTAGGCCATTAGTACACGAATTTTAGATTACATTGTTAGTATTTTAGCATTTACATGGTTACATTAAATTAAATTGTACAATTCTGTTTTTTTTAAGAATAAAATTAAGTTTTTAACGTCTTGAGAGTTTGGTCCTAGTGCTTGACAAATTTGTTCTGAGATGTGGTATTGATTTCGATACTTGTTGTATTTTTGACATTCTGTGATGATGTGGTTGACCGTTAAAAGTACATTGCACGCGTCGCATAGTGGAGGATCGTCTTTGGTCATCAAATAGCTGTGTGTTAGGTGTGTGTGTCCAATTCGTAGACGGTTTATTATGGTTTCTTCTTTTCTACTGAGTTCAGGATTTATCCATGGGTTTATATTGTTTTTTATTTTATTGAGTTTGGTGTTGAGTTTTCGCCAGTGGGAATGCCATTTGTTGTTTGTGTGAAGTTTAATTTCGTTTTTTGCATCTGCGAATGTGATGGACTTTATGGTTGCAGTTAATGTGGAGGTGATTGCATTATGAGCTTCTAGGTCAGCCATTTCATTTCCTGGAATGCCTATGTGGCCCGGAATCCATACAAACTGGATGTATATATTTTTATTTTCTGCAAGAAAAGTTTCTTCTTGTATTTGCTTAGTGATATCTGTTTGGTTTCGAGTATTTGTGATGGCAATTAAATTGCTGAGTGAGTCGCTAAGTATTATACATTTTGTTTGGTTGTTTGAATATTCAGTGTGGAAATATTTTACAGCTTTGTATATTGCCATCGCTTCTGCTGTGAATATTGATGCTTGAGGTGGAAGTTTGTATGCTATTGTTTGATTGTTTATTATCATAGCGAGACCGACACCGTCATTTGTTTTGGATGCATCAGTGTATATGTGTACGCTGTTTGGGTGTTCTTGCAATATGTTGTTGAGCATGTTTTTATATATGGAGGGCATTGTGTTTTCTTTTTTGAATTGAGTTAAAGTAAGGTTAACATTGAATGTTGTGTTCCAAGGGGGAAAATTGTACGGTTTTCTTTCTAAAATATTGTTTATTTTTATATTTTCTTTTTCGGCTTGCTGTATGTGTTCATTTATTACTTTGATGGCTGGATTGTTGATATTTCTTTTGGTTCTGGCACAATATAATAGCAGTAGTTTTTCTCTTCTAAGGTTAGGTGGGATTTCATTAGCAATGTTTCTAATACTCTCAATTGGGCTGGATTTGAATCCCCCTATTGAAAGTCTTATAGCAGTATTTAGTTTAGTTTGAACCATGTTTAAGTGGTTGGTTTTGGCATTTTTTAACAGTATTGATCCATAATCTGTTTTAGATCGAATTAACGCTTTATAAATCATTAAAAGAGATGCGCTGTCACCACCCCATGATGTGTGGGCAATTATTTTGATTATGTTGAGTTTTTGAGATAACGAGTCACGAATATTTTTTAGATGGGGTATCCAATTAAGTTTGGAATCGAATGTTATTCCTAAGATTTTAATTTTATTATGGTGAGGTATAACTAAGTTGTCTAGTATTATATTGAGATCTTTTATTTTTTTTTGTTTTGTAAAGATAATACTTTTGGATTTGAGGTTAGAGAATGAGAATCCAGTTTTTTTTGACCAATCTGATAAGCTGTTAGCACTTATTTGGAGTAATTCTTGGACGGTTTTTAGGTTATTACTTCTGCAAAAAATGTTAAAGTCATCGGCGAATAAATTAGCTTTTACAGGAACTTTGATTGTTTCGACAATATCATTAATGGCCAAGAGAAAGAGTGTGACTGCCAGTGATGATCCTTGTGGGATACCATTTTCTTGGTAGAACGTCTTTGATAAGGTATGTGATACTTTGACCTGAAATTGTCTTTCTTTTAGGTAGTTTGTAATATACATGAACATATTGCCGTTTGTTAAGATTTTGCTTAGTAGAGCTAGTATTCTATGTCTCCATACAGAATCGTAAGCCTTTGTTATATCCAAACTGATCATTCCGAGTATTTGTTTATGTTCGAATGCATTTTCTATTTCAGTTTTTATTGTAATTAGGTTGTCCATTGTTGATCTGGTGTGGCGAAATCCACTTTGCTCTTTAGAAAGTATTTGGTTTTTTTCTAAGAACCATATTAATCTTAAGTTTATAATTTTTTCCATAATTTTTGTCATTGTGTTTAGGAGTGTGATAGGTCTGTATCCTTCAGTGGAATGTTTGTTTTTCCCTGGTTTAAGAATAGGAATTATTATTCCCTTTTTCCATTCTTTAGGTATAACTCCTGTGTGCCATATATTGTTATATATATTCAATAGAAATTTTTTTGCTGTTATGCCTAGGTTTATAATAAAACAATATGGGATACTGTCTGGTCCAGGGCTTTTGCTTTGACATTTATTAAGTGCAGTTTCCATTTCATTGAGTGTTATACTGGAGTTCAAGACAATTTGGTCGCTATTGTTCGGGTTTATCATTGAGATTATTTGTGAGTTTTCGGCTGGTGTTTTTATTCCATTGATAAATTCTTGTGTGTAGATTTTGTTGCTAAAATTATCTTGGAAGTAAGCGCCGATTTTTTCGGCGACGTCTTCTGGAGCTGATGTTGTTCCTTGTTCGTCAGTTATATGAATTTCTTGGTTTCGGTTTATACCTTTCAATGAATGGATTTTGCTCCATATCTTGGATGAGTTAGTTTTGGAGTTTATGCTGGTTGTGAATTCTTTCCATGAGTTTTTTTTGCTTTTTTTTATTAAAAATTTGGCTTGGGCACGCAGTTTTTTGAGTTGTATGAAATTTTCTAAGGTTTTATTTTTTTTGTACGTGTTTAAGGCGTTCTTTTTATTGAATATAGCTCTTTTAATCTCATCATTCCACCAAGGAACTTTGGGGTTTTGGTTATGGTTTATACAGCTACCGATTGATATTTCTGCTGCTGTGGTGATTATGTTAGTTAATATTTTGACTGCGTTTTCTATATTGGATTGGTCATTATATTGTATTTTGGTAATTTCTTCCTCTATAATATCACTGAATAATGTCCAGTTGGGTGTTTTTAGATTCCATCTACGGTTTTTATTCGTATTAGTATCCCCTATCCTGGGCATGAAGTTTGTGAGTATAGGTAAATGGTCACTGCTATAGATATCAGGCAGCACTTTCCACTTGAGTCTTTGGGCTAAGGAGGATGTGCACATTGTTAGGTCGATAGATGATAAGGTTCCATTGGCTAGGTTAATGTGGGTGGGGGATGTGTCATTTAGAATTACAATATTTTCGTTTTCTAGTATTTTTTCAATTATCTTGCCTCTATGGTCTGTTTTTTCTGATCCCCACATGGTACAATGTGCATTAAAGTCGCCTAATATCATAAATGGCTTGGGGAGTTGTTTAATTATGTTTTCGATGTCGGAAAATTCGATTTTAGTTTGGTTGGGTAAATACAAGTTGCATACATTTAAATTTATTTCATTGAGATGTATAGAAATGGCAATAGCTTCGAGATGGGTTTGTACGTTTATTTGCTTGCTAGGATAGAATGACTTGACATATATTGCTACACCACCACTGGCTCTTAAACCATTAGTTCTGTTTTTAGTGTAGCATATATAGTTCCTTAAAGTTTTGTGGGTTTGGTCAGTAAAATTGGTTTCTTGTAAGCATATGAAATCGGGCGAATGCTCGGCTATTAGTATTTTTAATTCATTTATTTTTTTTTGAAAGCCATTAAGGTTCCATTGTATTAGTTTTGTGTTATGTGTGTGGTTGTTTTCTTTTTGATTTACATTCATTAGAATTTGAGAATTTGATTGATTTATTTGTATATGGACTTTACGAGTATAACTCTTGTGGAGTTGCTTGGAATAGTAGATTTGCTAATTTGGTGAGTTTGGTTTTTGTTGCTCGGTCGTTTATCTTAGGTCTGACTATTTCGATGGTTTTTAACATTGAAGGTATGTCAACTTTTGCTTCTTCACAGAGAGAATGTATGTTAATTGATTTATTGGAGAAATTTTCAATTATGTATTTGAATTGGTAAAAAGAGATATTGATTTCTTCGTTTTCGAAAAATAGGTCATGTGCAGATTTTAGGTGGTCCTCATCATTTGTAGCAATATTTTCGAGCGAATTGCTTTTTTTTAGTTTTTTAATTTGATCTTGAGGTGTTTTCTTGTTTTTTTTTGATTCTAATAACTTATATTCAAGGTTTTTGGTCTGTTTAGGTTTCTCAATGTTTGGCTGTGTGTTTGATTTTTCAGAAATTGTTGGAGATGTAGGGCAACTTGATGTTGGTAGAGATCTTTTGATTTGTTTATTGGGTAAAGTTGTGTTGGTCATTGTTAGGCTTAATATATTTGAGTTTTGACTGTTTTTAGGTATGGCAATAGTGTTTACTTCTGTTATGTCTTCCTCATGTGTGGGATATGAGGACGTGGTGTGGGCATCATCTATTGTTGGTTTTTGTGTAGTATATTTATTATTGGTCATGGTATTTGGTTCTTTTTTGCAGTGATTAGATGTGTGGCCGCTTTGTTTACATGCGTAGCAAATAAGAGTGTCGTCCGTTAGAAAAATTCTGAAGTCTGTATTGTCATATTTGATTATTATCGATCCGGGTACATTTGCTGTGTCGTCGGGGTGAATATATACCTGTCTCCTAAAACTACTGATGTGAGCGAGCTCATCTTGAAAACCAGCTTTGAGGAAGGTTATTGGAGATAATGTCTTTATGTTTTCTAATAATAAGTGTTCGGTAATTACTTCATGAGGTATTATCGGGTGAGCGTTAGAAATTATAAATCTCTTGGCAGGGTTTACTAGACGACGAAATGGTATTTGATTTTCATTAACGGTTATATACGAATAGTTTTGTGTCAGTTCGTCAACAGTTATTTTGTCTCTAAAATATATACAAAATCTGTTGTTCGAAATACGGGACGCAAATATGATGTTTTTAGGCAGTGTTATTTTGCTAAATGCTTTAACATATTCTATTTGTGGTATTTCGTTTATCGTATTTAATATAATGGCTTGATCTTTCTTAGGAAACGTTGTGTTGGCTGTTGTTTCGGCAAAAGTTTTTGTGTTGTTTATTTTGGGTGGTGATGACAGTTGAGATAGTTCTTGGTTATGCATGTTAGATAAAATATCGATAGACATTTTATCGGTTTAATTGGCCGCTATGTACCGGCGGCCGGTGTATTTTTGTGTTGCAATTACGAGTAAGATAAGATTACATACCTTTTTCGCTGATGATTGTTGTGTGCATGTATATACTGATATTGCTATCGGGAGCTAAGAAATACGGAACACACGTGTGCTTGGGACGGAGGTCAAACACGTACTGAAACATAATTTACTACACTTTCATTATGATATTTTAACCAAGTTTGCTAAAATGTATATATGATTTACGAATTACATAACTTTTATCCTGAACTGCCTGGTTACTCGAGAATAACCCTAAAACCCTTTAGGGACGAAAAACTTATATACGTCCTACTTGAAATTCCCAAAACGCTACTATAGAGACGTATATAGGTACTATATACTACACAATAACTACATTTTCGTGCAATTGATTTCGAAAAAAGTCTTAAAAAACAACTCACAATATACCCACTCGTATAATACTACTAAATACGCAACTCGCAATTTTAAAGTTTTGCATTAAGAAGTATTTTTTAAAAAGTTCGAGAATGTGTATTCATCATAATTAATATATTTCGTAGGAAACATACAAAATAAAATTATGATTTTAATTTTAATTTTATAAGTATTTTAACTTATATCAGTAAACTGACATCAGTTATTATATCAGTCATTATTATGATTTATCTTCAGTAATTTATCATGACTTTCAAATAAGGAATACATAATGCAACAATATTCTGTAATGAAGTGCCACCAGTACCCGACGTGAAGTAGTTTGTATACCTTATGGTATTTTTTTGTGTTAAATTACCATGGCTAAAGAACGTAAAAATATTACAATATATAAAAATTTAGAAAAACTTTTTGAATGTACAAGACATCAAAAAAGTTTGGAAACACTATATACTGTTTGTAAACATAAAATGTTTCTAAATTGTCTGTCGTCACTCTAGTATGTACCTAATATATTATGCATCTTAAGTAGTCATAAGAAAATTGAATATTATGGTTTTGCATATTTTTGTTGTGTATATAACAATATTATTGTTTATACAGGTGAATAAAAGAGACAATGCTAGTCTTGACCCTTAATTAGTGAGTCTCGTACTCTTTCAAAGGATTAATATTTACGAGGTGTTATGGCTTTATCCTTCTGGGCCCGTTTTTCCCCATTTTCGTTATTCCTTTTGTCTCCATTGTTATTACAGGCTAGTGTGGTGTGAATAAAATTTATAGTCACACAGTTCCAAAAAAAAAAATGTCTTATAAAAAATAAATAAGATGAAAAACAAGTATAGAAGATCTCAAGTCCTGTTATTTAAGGTTTTTATTACTTTGACCCTCAAATGTACAACTTTTAGTCGTATTATTTAGAAAAAAAAATAATAAGAAATATAATATACCTACCCATTTCATCATCATAATACATATTAAATCATAATTATATATACAATTTTATAATTTGTTCATAACATTGTTATGCATTTATAACAACCAACAAGTATTTACTATTTTTCCATCTAAGATTTAAAAAAAACCCTTAAATACATCTCAGTCTAATAATACTAATAATATAATATTATATAATCTATAATAAATAAATCATATAACTGGGGAAGAAAATAATTTACAAGTCACACAATAGCCCATAATTGTTTTAATGTATTTTAAACGTGGTTGGCATCCAAAAAATGTATGTGTACGCTATACAAAATACAAATTAAAAACAACAAAAATCCAAAAATGTATTATTTTAAAGATAATAATAATATACCTACATTTAGAATAATAAATAAATAAATACTTTGTCTTTCTCGTATCAATTCTAGCTATGATTATTATTTATATATAATGTTCATATAATAATGTATTTACCACAGTTGTAACAGTATTGATAGAAAGTATATGATATTATTTTAAAAAAAAACCATTGATAAATTTATTAAAAGGGATAGTGTTTGAATTTAAATTTGTCAATTTCGTATTACTTTTAAGTTTTAACCATCGATGTAAATTATTGAACTTTCGGTTTTGGAGGAGAGAGTAGCGTTGAGATTGATTTTGATAGATGTATTTGATCTGAGATTTTAACGAGCAGTGTTGAAGACCCTTGTATACCTACCATATTACAACGCTGATAGTTAGCAGGATGTTTGACATAACATTAACAATAGCATAATATGTGGCGAAGGGATCACAATATTTCACAAATGTTACTACGGTATACAATAGGTACCTACATATACAGGATGATCCATTTAAGTGGGTACACTAATTATCTCGAAAAGTTTTAACTTTTTTTTTTATTTTTTATTTTTTTAAACTGTTAGATTAATGCTTTTCTAAAACTCTATACTATTTTAATTTTTTTCACCCTTATATTTATTGGTGAAACCACTATCAACTTTTGATTTTCAAATGGTAACATATAGTAAAAAGATCATGAATTAATAAAACCATTTTTTTTATGAATTTACGCGTTAACATTTTTATTTTTCGATGATTCGTTTGCGAGATACAGCTCCTCAAAGTATTGGTGGTTGAAAGTCGGTACCGCTGGAAAATTTTCATTTGTAAAGCCCAGAAGCTATAACTGATAAATTCGATACCGTTCGACCTAACTACCTACGGTACCTAACATTAAACATATTGATAATTGTTGTACTTTGAACCTGATTAATTGAATGTACATTACACCTATATGCTAATTTGACCAATGCTACGTTTTGTTGACATTGGCTGTCGCACCAGATCCCCTCCATATTACCATAGAACAATAATAATCTTATTAATATTACCGATATTTGGCGATACCTTTATCATTATCTATGACCACGGTCTTATAAGATAATAGAATTGATTAAAATATTATATCATATTAATTAATTAATGATAATGGTCCCGAAAAATCAATCGGTTGTAATTTATAAACTGAATACTGATAATGAACTTTAAAACAATTAAAACTTGTAAAGTAAAATACTAAAGTACTAAACCATGTGGCCATGCAGCATAGCACTATTACTTAAATAGTTAAATATTAAATGTATAATGTAATTAATAATTGAACTATACATATGTATAGTTAGTTTATGTTGTAAACCGTTATAAGTAGACAGACAGTTTAAATTTCTTTAATAGCATAATATACCTAACAAAATAGGTAGTTGTTGAATCATTAAATTGTCAAAAGTATTCCATTGAACTTAATTAATTACATTATACGTAAGTCGTAATTTGGGATATATTTATGTATTTTATTTGATATTTCAATCAAAAATATATGTATTTAAGTTTATATTATGAAGTGTGATGTAAACTTGATACCTAATACATGAAACTCGATGAAAACCAACCACTTGGAAAGCACAACATTTGTACCTACATTAAGTTTATTGGTAAGTTTTCTTAAAATGTTTACGTAGAAAAATTGTTATGATTAATACCTACATTAATTTGTACATACATTATTATACATTATTATGACGTCTTAACAGTTTTTATTTAAATTTTATTTTCAGTTAAATCAGTTTTGTTCATTCAGTTACGCCACCAATAAATGTTATTCAAAGTTTGATAACACAAATTTGTTATACTCTTAAAATTATTGGCCGACACCAATACACCATAGCACAAACCTAATACAACTTCATATATTATTCATTTACTTATTACCATCTACTTGGACACAACAAGATGGTTGCCTATCTACATCATATTCATATACATACTTAAAAATATAATGTTCTCTGTTCAGAAGTACTTATAAGTTGCATATATTCAAATTTTACATTCTGGCATAGCAATTATTGTTAAGAACTAAGTTGATCTGTATTTACTACAAATATACTTGGCCAAATGATTTGGAGATAGATATTGAAATCACATAATTTTCTATCTTCCATTACATTTTCCAAACGAGAACAATGACAAATAAAAATTTCCATTTACTATTTTAATAGTTGGGAGAGACTACAAAATGAATTAAGTATGTAAACCTATTCTTTTACCGTTAAATAATTTGGTTATATTTATCCTTTTTTAATTTATTAGATAGTAAATACTCAACTACTCAAGTTAATTTCAAAGAAGATTAAAAATCAAGTCTGACAATCTGCATTCCAGAAAAAACTTAATCCCAATAATATAGTAAGCTAAAAATATGTTAAATGAAAATAGTACATGTTAATGTTTTTTTTTTTTTTTTTTTTTTTTTTTAATTTTAACAAATATTATACAATTAAGTTAATTTAGCTAACAACATCAATCAATCATTGATACTTAAATGTATGTTTCTAGAAAATTAAAAAAAGAATTATAATTTACTCACCTTCATTATTATACATGGTATTATTAAATATTTTATTTAAATAACTACTTTGTTATAATATTAAGTAGGTATGTCTTAATCCTAATATTTATGTATCATAAAAATATTTGTATTTAAAATTATATTGTTTTAGTGTTTTGCAACTGAATAGTTCTTCTGTTTGATTGGTGTTGTTAGCTATTTATTACCACCTACAAAGTTAAAATATTATTAGTCCCACTTTTAAATTTTACTGTATTTTTTTAAGTTAGGGGTTAAGTTGAGTTTGTTTCAATTTTTTTGAATACATGTTATGATCTTAACTCATATTTTGCATTACTGCATAACGAATATTTTGATCTAACTGTATCATTTAATTTGGAATAGATTTATCATAGTCCTGGGCTTTTAAATATTATGGTAACATTTTTGAAGGGTGTTTATCTAGCAGGTGCTCTATCAAATTTTATAAATGTGCATTTCTTTCATAGTAGTAATTGTAAAGTCGATCAAGTGCGCTTCTACTCCTTTATTATTTACCTATTAATTATTATAGTTATGAGTTATGACTTATTATATACTTCTCAATTTAAGCCAAAAACTATAATGTATTACTATCATGATAATGTAGGTACGCCTGATTTTGATAATAATAGAAATATAATTTTCATATAGTAGCACTAATCAATGGCGGTAA